CCGCCTAGGAGCAGACGAAGGCGGTTTCTCTGCCCCGACGGCCAGCTGCTGCCTCCAACCAGCCGTCGGCTCGGACGCCTCCGCAGCTCGCCGCCGAGGACGCCCCCCTGCGGCTCCCTTCCTCCCACGCGGCCCCAGCAGCAGCCTTCAGCCGGTTCGCGTCGCAGAGGAGGCCACAGGTAAGCGTCCCCCCCCCTCAGGCCGTGTGCCCCGCTAAACGCAGGCGAAGCGATGTTCCTGAGGCGGGCCGCTCAGTGATAGTGTCATGGTTTTTCTCAGGAGGCGGGGCAGGGCCCCTCCTTCCCCGGTGGAGGCCGGTGGAGAATCTTTTGTTCTAGCTAGCTCCCTGAGCTGGTTGAGGAAAAGCTGCACTGTCATTGAGCACCAGACTGGAATGAGCGCGCACGACGTCCAGTGCGTCGCCCTTCATTCCTCTCTGTCTCGGAGGGCGGCGGAAGGGTGCGTGTGTCAACCCCGGGCTACGCCAATCCCTTCCCCCTCTGTCGCCAGACCCCGGCAGAACAGACCCCCGTGGAACGCTCTGCCTTCCCTGGTCTCTTCTGTCGGGGAGCGGGTTTCGACGGTGCATCCGGACGGGGTAACTCCTGCACGCATGCCGGTCGACCGCCTCGCTGCCCCTCCGGGGGACGTCTGTGGTTTCGCATGACCCCGTTGGCTCACTTCCTGGAAGCCTGGCTAGCGCTTCCCGGGGTATCCCTCTGGGTCATCAGAACGATCAGATTCGGCTACGCGATTCAGTTCGCACGGTCTCTTCCCCACTTTCAGGGGAGTTCGCTCCACGATGGTTGGTGGCAATGCCCAGTCTTGAGACTCGGTCGCCATGTCCGCATCTCACGAACGAGCGCGCGCTCACTGCTGGCTTGTCTTCGACAGTTCGAGGGCAAGAGTGCGGTTCCACTGAAACTATTTCAGAGGCTCCTGGGGCATATGGCATCCGCGGTACGCCGTTCGGTTTGCTTCATATGAGACCGCTTCAGCTGTGGCTTCGCGATCGAGTCCCGAGGTGGGCATGGCATCGCGGCTCGCTCCGAGTTCCAGTGACTCCGACGTGCGCCGAACCTTCTTCCCGTGGTCGAACCTCAGCTTTTACGGACAGGGGTCCTATTCAGCGAGGTTCCAGGCATCTCGTTGTCTCCACGGATGCGTCTACCCGGGTTGGGGTGCCATGTGCAATGGCATGCAGCCGCCGGTTCCTGGACAGGAGCCCAGCGCCTCATGCACATCAATTGCCTCGAGCTGTTGGCAGTACGGCTCGCCCTGCACTGCTTCCGAGCGTGCTCAAGGGCCAGCATGTGCTTGTCCGCTCAGACAACACTACGGCAGTAGCGTACATCAACCACCAGGGGGGTCTACGCTCGCGCGGTTGTCGCAGCTCGCCCGCCACCTCTTGATATGGAGTCAGAAGCACCTGAGGTCCCTTCGTGCAGTTACATTCCTGGAGACCGGAACTGGGCAGCCGACGAGCTGTCCCGGGCCCGTCCCATCTCCGGCGAAATGGCGACTCCATCCCCAGTCGTCCAGCTGATTTGGGACAGTTCGGGGAGGCACAGATAGACCTGTTCGCCTCTCGGGACTCGTCCCACTGCGCCCAGTTTATTCTCTGACCCGCGGCTTCTCGCTCGGATGCGCTGGCGCACAGCTGGCCACGGGGCCCACGCAAGTGTGCGTTCCCCTAGTGAGCCTCCTTGCACGGGTGTTGTGCAAGATCAAGGAGGACGAGGAGCAGGTCTTGCTGGTAGCCCCCTACTGGCCCACCAAGACGTGGTTCTCCGAACTCATGCTCCTCGCGACAGCACCCTCCTTGGCCTATTCCTCTGAGACCGGACCTACTCTCTCAGAGACGGGGCACTCTGTGGCACCCTCGTCCCGATCTTTGGAGGCTGCACGTGTGGCTCCTGGACGGGACGAGGCAGGTTTGAGTTCGCTGCCACCTGCGGTGGCGGCAACCATCACTTCCGCAAGAGCGTCGTCCACGAGACACCTTTATGCGTTGAAGTGGAACCTTTTCATCAATTGGTGTTCTTCTCGCTGAGAAGACCCCCGGAGATGTTCGATCGAGTCGTGCTTCCTTCCTGCAAGAGGGGTTGGAGCGTAGGCTGTCGTCCTTCACCCTTTGGATTTATGTCGCGGCCATTGCCGCGTCTCATGATGCAGTGAAAGGTAAGTCTATGGGAAGCATGACCTGGTCATCAGGTTCCTGAGGGAGCGAGGGGCTAAATCCGCCTCCCTCCCCTCCTGCCCTCTGGGGACCTCTCAGTAGACCTGGGTGCTCTGCAGAGGCCTCCCCTGGAGCCTTTGCAGTCGGTAGAGTTTTTGCCCTGTCCTATGTAGACAGCACTCCTGATTGCATTGGTCTCCATCAGGAGAGTAAGGGACCTGCACACACTCTCTGTTGACGAAGTGTGCCTGGAGTTCGGGCCGGCTTACTCTCATGTATTCCCGAGACCCCGGCCTGGATATATGCCCAAGGTTCCTACCACTCCCCTCCGGGACCTGGTGGTGAACCTGCAAGCGCTGCCCCTGGAGGAGGCAGACCCAGCCTTGGCACTGCTCTGTCCGGTACGTGCTCTCCGCACCTATGTCGACAGAACGCAGTGTTTCAGGACCTCAGACCAGCTCTTTGTCTGTCATGGGGGGAGCCAGAAGGGAAGGGCTCTCTCAAAGCAACGGCTGTCCCACTGAAAGAGTGGACGCCATCACTTTGTCTTACCAGCAGCTAGGCCGGCCGTGCCCCCTTGGTGTGACGGTCCATTCCACTCGGAGTGTGGCCTCCTCTTGGGCTCTAGCGCATGGCGCCTCGCTAACAGACATCTGCAGAGCTGCAGGCTGGGCGACACCCAACACCTTCGCCAAATTCTATAATCTGCGAATTGAGCCGGTATCCTCTCATGTACTCGTTCGGCCAGTTCTGGATCCGCTCTGGATATAAGTGCGATATCTCCTCAGTTCTTCCATTGAAGTCTTGAGTCCTCCAGCACCGACGATGCAGGCACCACTGCTGTTGCTCTGGATGCTGGCTAGGTGCCTCCATGCGTACGGTTCCCCTTGGTAACCGTCTCATGTGTATTATCCACTGTAAGTCTCTCTGAGCATGTGTCTTCCCTTGGCAAGCCATCTGCCACCCCTGGAGTTGAATTTGAGTAGCCACCTGCGGTTGGTGCTCCAGTGTTTCCATATGCGTTCCTATGTGGCCATATGTGTATTCGTAAGTCCTCCCTTCGGTTGGCAGCTGGTAGCATGTCCCTCCCGGGATATGTTTCCCAGTGTACCTTGGTAATCCTGTGTCAAAGTGGGATCCCCAAAAAAAAAAAAAAAAAAAAAAAAGGTAAGGCAGGGGTCCAGACTTTCGCAGGGCACTGGAAGACAGCTTGAAGATGGCGTGATGGCACAGACCCCCAATCTCCGTCACTTCTGACGTAACATTCGAAGTGACTACGTTACGTCTCCCTGCCACTTCTGCTGTATCGCTGGGTAGACGCCGAGTTCAGTCTTGGCTCCTCAGCAAAGACATACTGCGGTTGCGTTCACTTCCTCCTTTTATACTCACGGAGTAGGGCGGAGTACGCTATGCAAATTCCGCAGCCCCAAGGCATTGCATGCCATTGGCTCGTGTTTAAATACTCGAAGAGGATTGGCTTTCTATGCGAAATCCCCCAATCTCCGTCACTTCTGACGTAACGTCTCCGTTCCCTACTCAGGGAACGAGGGTTACATACGTAACCGAGACGTTTTCTGTCGTGGATTCGTGGGTTAATCCTGTTGT